GTTCAGTTTTCCACCTGTAATATTTTCCTTCCTTCCAATGAATGTTATAGAAATAAATTCTGCAGTACATGCAAAGCGTCATGCCACTGTGATGAATGGGGTGGGGAGAGCAGATTTTGTAAGTCTTGACAGACAGTAAATTTATTTTTATAACTATACCTCTTGAAAGGTAATTTTTTCATAAAATTCATGGTTCCTGTAATTTCGGGGCATTGATACAATTTTTTGGTTAGAAATTAGGCTGTGAATCATTTTGCCTGCACTGACCTTCCTTTGGAGGCTGTTTCTGACCTCGCAAACAGCACCTTGTGTGAGACATGACAAGCTGATAGGTTGTGATGATGCGTTCGTGGTTGCCCACTGGTCTTAATGTGTTTGCGTCCCAGTGTTTATCAGAAACACTGTCTATGACCTTCTTACGAGCAGATACTTGATTTTAACATTTATTTCACAACAGCTCTGCAGAGTGAAGAGGAAACATGGATAGCTGGACTGAGGGGAAAAATGAATAAAGCAGAGCTGTGTTGGTAAGGTGCCTTTGTTGGTTCGGAGACGATTTTTTTGTTAGCTACATCCACGAGCATGTGCATGGGAAACTGGTTTACTTTTCACATCATCATCTCTGTGCAGATTTGAGAAATTAAACTTATCTGGGGTATTAACCTCCAGTATGCCGCATTGACCCAGCTACAGTGAGTGTTCAAGCACAGAATGGCAGCTTTATGTTCTCATCACTTTGTAGCATCCTACACGAATGTGGAAGAAAGAGGAAAAAATACTTCTAAAAAATCGAATCTATTTAGGGAAGCGATACTAGCACTTTGTTTTGTGAAGCTAGGAGGGAAACCCAGGCAACTCCGGCTCTGGTCCTGCTGCAGTGTAGTCAGTAACAGCTATAATCATTCACTTGATTGACGCAGCAGGATTGTTTTTTATCTCCAGGTATTTCACCATTGGTCAATGGAAACATTGTACTAAGTGATACTTTGAAATCGGATAAATATATTTTCTTCCACTGTTCGCTTTTTCCTTGTAGCTGGTACGTCAAAACAGTTGTATGACTGGGATCATCATGCAAACAACTCATCTTCATGTACAACTGGCTTGTATTTCCAGTGGATCTACTGTGGCAGAAACCCTTGACAGGCTTTAACGCTGTAACTTCACTGGCTTTTTATTTAAAGAAAGGGACAAGTGTCACGTTTGGTTGGCCTTAACACAGCCTATTATAGAGAGTACATAGGTAGTATCTGTAAAACTACCTAGTTCTAGAGAAGTGTGTCTGTGAGCGCGAGTGACAGGGACAATGCCTATTTTAAAGATTAAGTGCATGACCTGTCCTGCCAGCTGGACAGCACTTTCCAAGCGGTCATCATTACAGATCAGGAATAGCCTAAAACTAGCCCCCGGATCACACAAGCATCTTTGTGGCTAAGGAAACTCCTACAAGACACACTGTAATGTTTGTAAGGGCTTGTAGGGTCAGTGCCTCAGTTTGCCATAGCACTGCCTCAGGGGATATAAGTAGAGCTTGTGTCTTGGTTGGTTTTTATGAAATAATATAAGCAGTCATACAAGCTTCCAGCATCCTGTTGCTAGGCATTTAGTGCCCACTGACGTACGAGCCTATTGGCGTTGGTGTGTAGGCACCTTTAAATTTTAACCTCAAGTCACTTTCTGTAGTCTAACTTCCTTTAGATTTTTATGTTATCTGGATTCAGATTTTTTTTTTTTTTAACATAGCAGTGAATTGAGGACTCCTTCGAATGTATTTTGAAACTATAAAATGAAATCCCCTGAACGCCTGCCAAGCTTACTAGAAAATTATAAGAGGTCAAAAACATTATTCAGTGAATGACATATATCGAATGTAAAAAGTCAGCAGACAAACTTTGAATGTTGTGAGTTAAACCATCGTGACTGATGTTACTGCAGTACATCCTGCATGACTTACTAATGACTAGGCTGTTAAGTTTAACATGTTAATGGAACTTTCGTCAAATCTAAAGGCAGCGTATGTCCAGTATCACAGCAAACATCTGTATGGATCATCCGGCTCACAGATCCAAATCAAGTTTCTCGGCAATGTCCAGCACACAGGTGACACGGGGGGAGGGGAGGGCGGGTTGTCGTAGCAACCCAGCTTTGTATTGCATTGAGGCAGAGACTACCCACCGGGAGCTGTGTAGATAGCTCAGCCCTGAGGTGTCTGATGAGTCAGTGCTGCATTATTCAAAGAACCAAAACTTGATTTGAGTCTTGAAATCCCTTAACAAAGTGTATGCCCTGAGTCTCAATCCAACCATTGTCCAGTTGCTTGAGATAGGTAAAGGGAAGCTGGAAGGTTTCTGCTTCAGCCGACAACTTTATGTACTCAGACAACGTTGTGTATTCAGACGATCGATAAGGGTAAACTCCTTTTCACACCCCCAAAGACTCCCTCAGGCATGATACCTACACAGTCACGTAAAACAGGGGATAAAAGCCCTATGATTTCGGTTGCGAATCGGGAGTCGCTTCTCCAACTACACAGCTGGTCTGTGAGGAGATTCTTCCCCCCTTGATCGGGACACCGGCCAAGGTAACTTCCCTGGGATTGAGAGCCCTTCCCTGGAGGAGTAAGTGATTATTTAGCATGCTTTCAGTGTAGTGCACTTGTGTGTTGTCTCTTTTGTGTGCTGTAATAGTGCATTCCCTGACTCTTTTGTGTGTTGTGATAGTGTATTGTAATAGTGTGTATCTTACTTTTAAATTGCAATAGTGCATTCTTCCATTGTATCCATAAAAACCTGCAGTAGTGGCGTATAATCTGCAAGAGCAGTTCAAGTAAATTGTTATTTTGAACCTTACAGTTAAACCTGTAAGTGCAGTGCAAATAAAAAATTGGCTTGAACCTCGTAGTCGAGTCTCTTTTCGTCACAACATCTGTGCAAATAAAGATGGAAGAATGGGATTCTATAAAAATGACGACCATGTTCCAAGAAAATTCCTAGATTACACTAAAAAGGATGGAGGTGGGATGCATTATTTCTACAAATCATGTCCCTTACAGGTCAGTGCCAATGAACTCTAAAATCATTCTCTGAAATGCTGTCTGGAAATCTAAGCCTGACATTGATAAACATGGTAAATCTTGGTGACCTCTGTGGATGCTCTATGCTGAGCTGACTCACTGCAGTCTGGTGACCTCATCCCATCTCTGTGTGCTACATCCCCTTCAGTAACAGTGCAGCAAAAGCATTCCCGAATGGACCCCTTGCCACAGACCAAAAATCCCACAGAACTCAGCAATTGAACAGGAAGAAACACAGGTTTAGAAAACAATTTTATTAGACAAATTATTTAGACAAATTATACACAGAAAGCTCTGCCACTTGTAACCGAGGCCTCCAAAAAGTGTTTCGTGTATCTGTATAATAGGCAACACATCAAAATAGGCCTATTTTAAATATCGTACATGGTTAACAGTTTTTTTTTTTAATAGCTAAAATCACTGCAACATCTGGTATGTCCCTACGTAGCTCGTTGGAAATAAATTTTCTTTTTTTTTTTTATTTTACTCAGAAGTGTGGATGAGTTCATGAATGTTACAAGGGGTAGCAAGTTGTGCATGCTTTTAGACACTTGCTACCCTGGAAACAAAATGGCCTTTTGCACGATAAGAATTTGTTCTGCCTTACACAGTAGACAATATTTGAAGATTTAGTACAAAAAACAGTGACAGTACAAGATGCTCCCCCAGAACAGAATTAGCATCAAAATAGAATAGATCTGAAGAATATACCTTTTCATTTATCCTAAAGCAAATCACGTAGGCTGATTCCTATTAATCCTAGCCAAAGAATGAGTTAGGTTAAAATAAGTGTATGGTTGCATTAAAGACAAAACCAACCAAAAAACTCACAGGATAAATTGCTTGCTTCCTACTTAACCGCATTTTTAGTCTTAAGGATTACAGATTGAAAGCTCTTCCTACGTTCCTAACAGGTAGCAGTGTTACTGTAAAAAGCTGGTGCCAAAGCGGGCACTAGTTTTGCTCTCACTGCTGCTCTTTCTATACAGTTGGCACTAATGTAAAAAATACATAGCTCCTCTAAATCTAACTTAACATATAAAGGGTTAAAATGAGCGCCTGTTCATATTTCTTTTCCTTAGAACAATATGTGATTATAATTAAGGCAACATCTGTATTTCTTGAGGGCTTTTTTTTTCCTCCACTAACACCATTATTGTATTCATCAACTGTACTGATCTGGAAAATAATTCATTAACCTTTGATCTATATTTAAACTTCTCTAGATCTATATTAGTTGTTCATGAATGTGGTATACCTAAGAGAGAGTTCCATTTGTCTAATTCATTAAAAGTAAAATTATCAAGATTAGCCTTATAGAATGCTCAGTAGCCAATGCAAAACCTAACCAAAAGAGTTACATCTAGGTACAAAGGTTAAATTGCCCTGGATGTTCTAATAAAAAAGTATAAAATATGCTCTGTTGGCAAACGATGCGAGTCAGAATAACATTAAAGCAACCTGTCTTTTCAAAATGAAAAGACCCCCTGCACTGTACATCTTTCCTGTATACAACACATTTTTACTAAAGCTTTATTAAATGAATTGCAGTAGCAACGGCTGCCATTTTATAGCTATATATACATGTGTATATATATATATACACATACATGCGTGTATATATGTGTATATATACGTATGAGATACTAATTTATTTAACACAACAGAGGCTTCTGCCATATGATACAGTTTACTGTACATAAGAAAAACTTTTAACACTGTACAATCACATAAAGGTCATATGCACTGTTGCAGTGCAGAAGTAGATTTAACTGTAGTCTTTACTGGCATAGTAATGGCTTTTTGTAATCCTACAAAATTGCATTCTTATATGGGGCCTGAATGATCTTTTAACTTCATTTGTTTTGCTTTCATTTTTTTCCTTTTTTTTTTTTTTTTTTTTGCTTTTTGCCTTTTTTTAAAATTTTTTTAAACTGCAGGGTTTGCCTTTGGTCCACAGTTAAAAGGACACACAGCAGTGGAGCGCTGACTGGATGCAGCAGGAGACATGAAAAAGACCTAAGTTATTGCAATTATAGTAAAAAAAGGCGGTGGGGGAGGAGGAGCAAATGCCCTTCTGTAAAGTAATCCTCAGGAGTTTTCTTACGCATTAATTGCTGCACATTTCCTATATTTAAAGTATATGAAAAGCCTGAAGTAATCAAAACCTAATGCGGTGATAAACCAAGGAATAAGTGATTCAAGTAATAAAGAGAATAAGGGGAGACAGAGGAGACCAGACTGAGAAAACAGTGAAGAGAAGGAGGAAGAGTTGTTATTAATAATCCTGATCCTTAAATAAAATTTAAAAAAAGGAAAAAACCCAACTGAACAGAAAATAACCCCCAAACAAATTAAAAAAACCCTTCAAAACCAAAAAATAAGGAAAAGAAAAAAGGTTACATCCATGTTAGTCCCACAATATTACAGCTGCTCCTTGCAAAGGGAGTCCTAAAAAAGAAACAGTGAAGAAACTTGGTCTGATGCTCAGATGGAGGTGCCTCGGTCTGGGTCACTACCGATATTCAGCCCCAGAGTAGGAGTTGGTTGGTACGGGATAGAGGACATTGTTTTGATGGGGCTTCTGAAAAAGCCACCGTTGGGTGCCCTGTGCCTGAAAGGGCCAGTTCGGTGCTCGGGCACACTGCCGAAGGAGAAACCCGAAGCGGCTTTAGCAGACAGCGTGCGGCTCAGAGTCTGGATCTGTTCTGGTATGAAGGTGGTTGTGGTGATGTGAGTGTTTCTGAAGTCACTGATTTGCTCCAGTGCCTGACGTGTGGGTAAAGTGTCAATGTCCAGCGGGGTCAGGTCGATCGACGAGGTGGAGAACTGTTTATGGGGGCTGTCGTCGTCTGTGCAGAGGCTGTTCACGCGCCTGTGGAGGTGCTCCAGGTCAATCTCCTTGTCGTCCTGGGGGATGAGAAAAACAAGAGGCACCGCTCACCATCGCCATTCGTGCTGGGTTGAAGCTTCACAGTGCGATCAGAACTGCTCGGGAAGCACAACGCACAGTTAACTACAGCTGGCTGTCAGCTGCTGGCATCGCTGAATGTCACCAGCCAACACCCCCACCACCTGAAGCTGCGTGGGCTAAACCAAACCAGGGCAGACCCCCTTACACCACAGCTACCTTCAAACCCTGAATCTGAAAAACAAAACTCCAAGTGCTACCGGTAGGTTTCCGCCAGGAAAAGCCGGGCTCAGAACTAGCATGTTGGACTAGCAACAGGTGAATGACAGTAAACTTTGTGCTGTGAAAGCAAAGCATAATCTCAAACGCCTGGGATGATGCCGGTTCTTCAGCTCCGCAATGAGGACTAAATTTGGATGTCAACACGGGAGGCTCTGAGGGATCAAGTTGCCGGCTTTGTCATCCTCTCAGGCCTTAAGGAAGGGCTAAAAACATCTTGGGTGGCTTTTTGCCTTTATAACATGAATTGCAGCATAGAAGGGCTGAACTTCCAGACAAAAATCCAAGCACTGGAGACTCACTGACGTCACACAGAAAAGAGTACACCAGGCAAGTTTAAATTACAGTGCCAAAAGAGGGATTCATTCTCCCCTTCCCTACAAAGAAGCAATTCCATTGATTCTGATGGAATTACGCTCTTGTGGGTAAGAAGAAGAGAGGGTGGCCTGATGCTTTCATTATATCATCCCTCTTCTTACCTCTGTCCCTTTTCCTTCCTAAATCTCTCCTCCCAGAGAACTCGGTTAAACAGATTTGTTTGTTATAATTGAGAAATTAAATGCATGGAAGTTAAAAAAAGAAGAGTAAGTCCTGGGTGACACAGTAAATCACCTGTGTTATACATAGGTATTTCTACTGAACTGCAAAGCTGAATTCAAAGTGGCGTGAAGCGTACACACGCAGGGGTGCTCCCTCAGTCTAGATAGCGCAGCTCAGTCAGAACAAAAATAAATTTCAACTAACCTTAAAATTTACCTTCATCTCTGTGAAATCTACTGGCTCTTCCAGGCCACTAGAAATAATCTCACACTCTAGGACCTCACAGAGGATAATTAGGCAGCCGATAGGTGTGCACTGATGACTTCCAGCCTTGATTACTGCAATTCACTGACTGGCTTGATCCAGAGCTCCCTGAATCAATGGCAAAACTCCTAGTATGCCAAACGGGCTTGAGATCCCTCCTTTGTCTAGGAATGAAGTCAAGCACTCAGAAAAAGTCCACACCTAGAACAAACTGCAGGAAGTCATCTACTTAGCAAAACGTATCACCGAATATTTGCATTGGTACCATGATGAACACAGAGGCTGACTGGAAGTAGGCTGAGAAGCCAGCTCCCCTCCAGGATTTTACTCTCCAAGGGCAGGGACAGGGAGTCAAACCAAGGGAAAAGGAGCAGGGACTGGGGCATCATGGATCTCCCAGGGAGTGGACGATTGCTGACTACAGAAGCTTTGGTTTGAGCTCATCACAGGAGGGAAAAAATGCAGTGCTCACTTCTCAGACTTAGCTTTCTGTCTATAGTTTATTCACATGTGGACATAGACATGGGTGCACATGACAACCACACAGGTGACACCAAAACCAAACGCATTCACCAAACGCTCTCTCCTAAAAACTTTGGAGCTGCATACGGATGCAGGAGAAGCGGGACCACATCGGAAGCTAAAGAAGTATACAGAGGCTCCGTTAGCGTGTGCAAGTCATGACTATGTATCTGAGGGACAGTCCTAAATATTTTTCCTTTTTTTGGTTTTGTTTTGTTTGTTTTTTATATTAAAAAACATACAAACACTTTGTAATTTAAAGTGCCAATCGAGAAAAGATTGGAATTTCATCACTTTTGAGCCTCTATAAGTTACTCAAAATATTCCTCTTTCTTCTCTTACAGAGATGCATTTGGGGCTAGGGTCAGACCAGTGAAAATATATAAGTGGTGATACTCTCCCATGCTTAGCCCACAACCCAATCTCCACCCAATTGATACACCAAAATTAGACCCACTCACAGTAAAATTGTGTATATCTCCATAATATGATCTTTCCTCTTCTCTCTTGTGTGATCAGTAGTGAAATATTCAGCAGTTTTCACATTTAAATTATCATCAGGCTTCAGAGTCAACATCCCATTGAGATTACTGGGGCGGTTCATACTTCTCTCAGAGCTACCGTTTAAGGCTGTCTGCAGACTCAGGCAGACATCATTGAATGGGTTACTTCTGGTACAGGACCGAAACGTTATCTTCACAACCATAAGACAATTTTTTTCAGTATAAATGCTTGCATTCTGGAGCACAAGATGGCAGCCACCAGGAAATAGGGTTGGCTTGCTGACCACAAACTGGCCCAATCTGACCCCCGATTCTGGACTAGTGGCCTGGAAGAGCCAATGGATTTCATGGAAGCTAAAATGAATTTTAAGAAAGTTAGTTAAGATGTATTTCTTTGCTGAATGGCCCCCACATCCGGGATAGTGGGGACATTCAGCACATATGTTCACGTTAAACTCAGTTTTGAGCCAAGCTTTTCAGTTTAGCGTTGAGATGCAATTTTAAATGCTAAGCTAATGACCATGTAACAAAGATCAAGGAGGCCAAATTATACCATTTGTGGAAAGTATACACTTGAATTTCTCCACATTTGAAAATTGAAATAGGAAATTTTATAGTTATATAAAATATCAGTTTTTTTTTTTTATTTTCCTTTGTTGTTTATTTTTATGTTTTGCACCAGATAAATATGAAGTTCTGAAAGTTTAGGTAAACACCAATCAAGTAAATTTTAGGTTTCTAAAAAATTTACCAGTTGAAACTATATGATTTCCATTCCTGACAAACAGAATTTAAAGACTAGAGATTATTTTTTTTTTTCTTTTGATAATAGTATGATCTGGATCTTGAACAAAAAAAAAAAAAGCTTGGGAATTAAAACAGGCAAGAAAAGATTAAATGTATTCTAACATCAGTGCCAATGCTGTCTAATTAGGTAGTGCAATTAATCCTGCCTGATTACACAGCATTAGATTAGCAGGAATAAACACAATGGAGAAACTGAAGAGAAGGTGAGACCACTGCACACAAATTAACAGCAATACCCCACAAGCTACACAGATGTGTCTAAGCTACACGGATAAGAAGGCTATAATTGATAGTGCTACATTAAAGCTCATATTTAGCTTTGGGCATCGCTGCCAAGTACATTTTAATAACTTCTTTTTTTCCCTAATGTTTTTTTAGTATTTTGTAGAGCTAAACACTTATTTATGAAGGTAAGAAATTTGTCGTAGGACCATATAAGACTCAGATGGCTGGTAAAGGGACAGGTAGATTGCCACGGGAAGGGAAGCATTACACATGCAGGTGTAGGAGCAAACTCATCTCTAGTGTAAAATAACATATCTCCCCGTGGCCTCCATCCAAGATTTTCTGAAAGAAGTCTGTAGTAGATTTCAGAAATAAGTTTGGCCGAAAAATCTAATGTACTCTCACTTCCCTGGACTTCAGATTAAGTAACGAGAACTGAAGTTCATGGAAGTCTCAAGAAGTTAACATTTCTGCAAATGGGGACAAGCTTGTTTAAGAAGCTAACTGCTGATTAAAGGGCTAAACTTTGCAAATCTATTTTGAAAGACTCAGCCACTGAGCTTAGAGGATTGTATTTTTCAATAAGAAGCCTCCAAGAAACCTTTGAACTTACTGGTGAGAATTAGCCCTCACCAATGGGAATAATGAACTACATATTGATATATTAATAATGTACTATTCTACAAGCAACAGTTGTATTTTACTCAGAATAGTTGTATATTTATACATCATCAATAAACTTTTTTTTTTTTGTAACTCAAGCTTTTCTAGAAAGAAAAACTAAAGAGATTTTGAGGAACAACATTTACCTTAAAAAATCAAGAAGCTAAGGAAATTCCTCTGAATTTGATTCCCCCCCCCTCTAATGCTATAAAGTCAAGGCAGCAATCTTTAGGGTGCATGAAAATTCCCCAGGAGAAATGGAGGGTCTAATACCTCTTTTGATGGAACTCGGGAGCCTTTCCTTTTATTCCACCACGTTTCCAACATTGCAATGAAACAGGATAGGACAATCCCAGCAGCAAGGATGCAGAAAACACCTGCAAAACTTTTTATGTCCAGGGCACCTCCTTTCTGTTTGGTATCCACAGATGAGTAAAGATCACACTGACCATTCTTCGGCCACCACTTATGCTTCAGTATGTCCATGTCGCCATTCTGCTGCAGCTCTAAAATCCTTGAGGAGAAAGCATAGAGTCAGAGGTTATAGCGAGGCAGTGGAGTTGGCACCCGAGAGTGTGAGGATATAATTCGACTACTTGCAACATTCCCATGTGTCTTGGAAAGCCAAACAGCTGATGAATCCACAGACTGATTTAGTCAGAAAAGAAAGCTAGAATATGCTGTTGCCTGTAAGACTGAACATATGGATATCTGTGCTCCACTCCAGACATAGGAAAGCACATATGAGTGTCTCTTTCCTTCTTATAAGACCCTCAATGAAAATGCTTTAGTTAATATACTGTATTTCCTTAACTGGCTCTCACTACAGGCTACATCGATTGACTTTTGTAGTATATTAGGTATTTGACAATATATATTTTGCATTTTAATCACTGGAGAAGAGACATTTCAATGAAGGAAAAAAAAAAAGGAAAATACAGTTCAGCTGTACCACATTTACCTTATTGTAAACTGATTTTTATCACATTACCTACTTGCTGCTTTGAAAGAAAGCAGAACGGTATCAGTTGCAGGCAGTAAAGACCTAAACTAATCTTGCTTGATGGGAGCATATGACCTGCTGGTAAGTGATTTCCATAGGAAGGTTCTTTTTTGTGGAATTCGCTCATCCTTGAACCTACATATCCAGCCCACCGCCAAAGATTTACTGGGCGGTTTGCAAGGCTAGCATTTAGCTAGACTTCCTGCGGAATGAATAGCTCAAGGAATGAGAATTTTGTTAGGAAGAAGATTTTCTTATTTAGCTCATTTATTCCTGAGGAGAATGTTTAAAAACATCCAGAAGTGACTAGAGCAGCAGCTGGGTGCATCTGGTTACCCAAAATAAAAAATTCAACAATTACCCTTAAAAAGAATAAAACAGGGGAAATGTTTTCCATCGTGTAATAAATTTGTTTTTCGTTTCAGTGTAGGAAAGCAAACAATTACTTGCAATCATTTGACACAGCATGCAAAAAATCCAAGTGCACACAAACCAGCAGAGGTCTGGGATATTGCTGCTGGAGAATGTGCTGCATCAAAGGGGGAAGAAAAGTTGTTCCACTGATGCAGCGCGACCGTAACAGCTCCATGCAGTGGTCTACCTCTACTTTAGAAAAATACAGTATTATGAAAGAGAGTTTGAATGTACCTCAGAAGCACAGGCCAACTGCTCTATGCAAAGATCATTCAATCTCTAATGCTACTTGAACATGTAGTCAGGTCAATGAAGCCACTAAATTTTCTATGGCACATCCAAATGACCATACACTTATGCTGAGGTCCTACCAGGAATGGGAGACTTCACGCAGCCATCAGTGGCTTAAATCCCAGCACAGCTCTGGAGTGAGTTTCTGCGTCCTACTGAGGAGTATGTCCCATGGCTGAGATCCTGATCTGTTCAGAGGCGAACTGCTTGTCCACCTCTGTGGTGCTGTACCAAAGGGAACAATGCCTTTCAGGAACAGACTGCAGGTGATACGTGTGGCTTTGGAGATGCCAGAACCACCGTGTTTGCATAGCTTTGTGTTTGTGAGAAGGAGGACAAATTTTGTGCAATGCCTGCTGACTGCGTATCGTTGAAGATCCAGCCCTGGAGAATCGCAAACAAGGTCAGAGTTGCCTGGGCTACATTTTGAACTGTCCCAAACTTAAAGAAGCCCCACCTCGAAGCTTCCTGAAGAGGCAGAGATATAAGTCAAGGATGCAACAACTCTCTGTTCTGTTGCAAGAGATAGAATAGCTGTTATGAGACCTTCATGTTCAGAGGAGCTTTGGAGGCACGGGGACCATGTGCAAGATTGCTGTCATTGCTGCCTATTGAGAGCATGTAAAGAATCATAGAACGGCATAGGCTGGAAGGGACCTCAGAGATCATCTAATCCAACCTCCCTGTCATGGGCAGGAACACCTCTCAACTAGATCAGGCTACTCAAGGCTCCGTTCAACCTGGCCTTGAACACCTCCAGGGAGGGAGCATCCACAGCTTCTC